TTTGCATGAACATACTTTGCTATTTCAAATATATAAAGAGAAGGTAATGTTAAAATGGAATGTTTTTTGAAAAAAGGTTTACAGCTGTTTTTAGACTTCTGGTGAAAAATAGTTCTGAGAATTGACTTTTGGCAAGTGAACACTTTCTTGGCCTCTGCAGAGTTACCCCATAGAGTGACGCCATAAGCCAGCAAAGAATGAACATACGCATGATATACTGTCAAGCAGACTTCTAGCGGCGTGACCTTGGATAGTACACTTAGTGAATACCTTGTTGACCTTAATTTTTTATTTAGATGATGAATGTGATCAGACCAACTTAATTTTGAGTCTAAATTTAGACCTAAAAACTTAACAATTTTTGTATTACTGATTGTGGTGTCTGTAACTCTGTTTCTGAGTTTAAATTGAAGAATGTTAGTTTTACATTCATTTAATTTCAGGCCATGGCTCTCAAACCATTCATTGATTTTTTTAATTGTGCTGTCAAAAGTTAATTTAAGTTCACTTAGTGTTTTTCTTTTTAAAAGAGCAGTTGTGTCATCAGCATAAAAAGTGAAAGCACAGGAATTTGTGGAAAGGCAATTAGGCAAGTCATTAATAAATATAATAAATAATAAAGGCCCAAGTATGGAACCTTGGGGAACACCATATGTAACGCTGGCCCAGTTAGAATAATATTTTATTGATTTTTTTATTACTATTGTGCGCTGCTTTCGATTGAATAGGTATGATCGTAATAATTCTAGTGCCATTCCCTCCAAGCCAATATTCTTCAATTTGATCAGCAGCAACCTGTGGTCCACACAGTCAAAAGCCCTGGATAAGTCACAGAAAACTCCTGCAGTCAACTGTGACTGATCCAGAGCTTCAAGGACACTACTAATATAAGTAAAAAGAGCATTATGTGTGCTTAGATTTCTTCTAAAACCAAACTGCTCTTGACACAGTTTTGAGTTACATTCTAGGTAATTTGCAATTCTAAGATGAATAATTTTTTCAAAAATTTTAGATATATTACTGAGTAAGGAAATTGGTCTGTAATTTTGACTATTATTACGTTTGCCTTTTTTTAAAATTGGTCTGATTTCAGACAATTTTAGCAAGTCTGGAAATTCACCCTCACCAAATGATTGATTGATGAGTCTAGCTATAATATCAGAAATAATGTCAGCAGTCCATTTCAATAATTTAGTGGGAATCTCATCCCAACCACAAGAATTACTATTACTTAAACTTAAGATAGCATTTTTAACTTCAAATTTGTTGGTAAAAGCCAAAAACTGTAATTTATCTGTATTGTCTGATTCTAAAGAGTTTTGACTGATGTACTTGTTATTGATGAAAGAGACATTTGGCACATTTAATATTTCCTTTATGTTGGAAAATTGAAAATTAAGATATTCTGCAATTTCTTTGGGTTCATTTATCACCCTATCCCCAACATCAATTTTAGTAGTAGTCTCCGTTTTTACTTGAATGCCCAGTTCTTTTTTAACAACTCCCCACATAGCTTTACTCTTGTTACAAGATTTAATAATAAAATTACTATTATGCAATCTCTTAGCCTGCAAAACTACCTTTTTGAAAATTCTTTTATAGTTCTTAACATAGTTCAAAAATGATTTTTGTCTACATGTTTTTGCCAATTGGTGTAATCTTCTTTTAGTCTCTGAAGAAATCATTATACCCTGAGTAATCCAATTCTCCTTACATTGGTTTTTCTTTTCTTTAATTAATTTCACAGGATAAACTTCATTCAGTGAAAGTGTAAAACTAGATAAAAAAGATTTGTAGTTGTCATTCACAGATTTGTCTAGAGCTAAAGACTTGATATTGTCACTTAATGAAATTAATAAAAAGTGGTAATTTTTTAATAGGAAAAAAGCGAATTCTTTTGTATACACTTTCAGGCAAGTTTAAGGTTTTAGGCAATTGTAAAAATAATGCATTATGGTCAGACATGCCAAGATCAATATTTATGGTTGCGTTTTTATCATAGCTTACACTTGTGAGAATATTATCTATGCATGTTTTTGATGTTTTAAATACTCTAGTTGGCTGTCTAAAATTTATTTTCAGACCAAAATTACAAGACAAGTTCTCAAACATTTTTGTATCATTATCATTTTTTAAAATATCTATGTTGAAATCAGCTGCTACTATGATTTTCTTTGAGAAATCCTTTTTTTGTATTAGTTCCAGAAAAGATCTAAATTTACATAAAAATAGCTGTGTAACACTACTACCTGGTATTCTATATATGGAAACAACAATAATCTTACAATCTATTATTTCTATACAAGAGGATTCAAAACAGTATTCGTCATTAAATTCCTTGAGATCTTGCCTCACAATAAAATTGATTGTTTCATGCACTAGAATGCATGAACCACCAGCCGATTTTGTCCTAAAATACCCATCAGCTAAAGTAAAATTGGGTAATTTATTCAATATAGATTTGTTACTTTCTTTCAATTTGTGTTCATTTAAACAGATTATCTTAATTTGGTCAATAGGTATCCTTAATAATAGTGTACAATTCCTCAAATTTATTTTTGATGCCTCTAATATTATAGTGCATTAATTGACAACCTTTGAAAGTGGTTTTCATGTTTTCTCTGAGACTATTGCCAATAGCAGGTTTTTTGAAATTACTGGTTGTCCTATAACAGGAACATTGGACATTAGTGAATTAAAACTACTATTACCACTACTACTATTACTTTGGGATGTACTATTTTGGGATGAACATTCAGTTGCTTGGGTATTGGAAATACAAAAATTTACAATTTTGGTTGAATAGGGAGTAGAGGTGTTGGAAGGCTTAGGAGGAGAACACTGTTGGGGGAGCACAGACTGGCTTTTACACTCACTGGACACTAACTGCTTCTCAATAGCACCTGCCGTTGACTCCACTGGTCTTGGGTTGGAGTTGCTAGCTATGGCATCTTCTTCAACAGCATGCTGGGACATATTTGCCTGAGGTCTTGATGCCATGGAACGTGTTTCCTCAACATTTAGTTTTTCTTCTCGAGTGCTCTTCTTGTATTCCCTTATTTGTTGATGGAGTGTATTTTTAAATGCATCAAAGCTCAGTTTATTGTAAAGATTTCTTGATGATTTCTCTTCTTGGACTATCACTGAAACCGGAACGCCTGTTGCAAGTTGAAAATTTACAATATTGCTAGCAAAATTTTCAATAGGGACCAAGTCTCTCACAAGTCCCATGGGCGAACAAATTAATCTTTTATACTGTCTTTGTTTAAAATCGTCCGTCAGATTACTAAAAGCTGTATCATAATCTGATATTGCCGGTTTCCCATTATACGTGGCTTTGGTAACCAGTCCATAGACAGCTGCTCCATTTTTATAAGTTTGCAGTGTCAGATAATTGTTGAGGATATCTGTTTTTTTGGGCCTGCCAAAAAATTTTCTGAATGGAACTGCAACTCCAGCAGACATATTTCTTGGATTTATGAAATCACCTGATATGCAGTGAGAAAAAGCCACCTCCTGGTTTGATTTCAAGCTGTCTATTATATGATGCATATTTGATTCAATGATGTTTATGCTGTTGTGATTATTTAAAAGATCGTTTATATGATTTTGTGTTGTCAACCAAGATGAAATAGTGTTAAGGATTATGTGAGCTACTTCACTTTTGCCTAGGTTGTTCAGATGTAAGCCATGTGACGTGAAGTGTGATCTCTGAAGAATATTTAAGTTGATCAAATAGACATTATTTATTCTGTCTACTAATTCAGTGATATAATTATTAGCAGTTAAGAGTTTAAGATTTTCAGGACTTTTTGCGGATTTGTCATGTCTCAGGGGTATCGTGCATATAAAAACTGGCCTAGAAGAACTCAGAAGTTGAAGTTTAGATTCTAAATTATGGTATATTTCATTAAAACAGTCTTTAAGACTGTCATTACTGCCTCCAAGAAAGATAACAGGCGAGGTGTCACTGACAATCGAAGCAGAATCAACAACTTGTGTTAAAGTGGTGTTTGCTCTGACATACCCGAAAGCATCCACTTTACCACCACTGAGAGCAGTTAGTTTTATTGGTATGTCCCTACCCTGACTGTCAGAACAGAAGGTTACTTTTAGATTAGATTTTGTTTTCTGTTGTTTTGCACATTTCCTATCCGATCCTAGTTTTATGTTCTTGTGCTTGAGGTGATTTTTCTTGTGCTTGAGGTGATTTTTCTTATGTTTGTTGTTGGCTGTCTTAGTTTGGTAAGTGCTGTTTGTCGTAGATTTCTCTCCATCATTGTCATCTGATAACTTCTCCAGTATTGAAAACTTATTTACTTGTTTAATGTTAGATTCTCCTCCCGCCTTCTTAACATTTTTTTCACAGTTAGTATTGCTTTGTTTCTTTTTAGTTTGTATAACTGACCATGAATTACAACCAGCTGCCACCAGATTTTCAGTGTTAGGAGACTTGTTATGTACAAAATTGCTACTTACCCCATGTGGGATATGGTTAGTTTGCGGTTTAGTCTTCATTTCAACTGCAGGATACTGTTTAAGCATTGACTTGAGAACAACCATGTCAACTTTATTGCTTTGCCCATTGTAGCTAAGTTGTTAAGTTTAGGCTACAAACACATGAACGCACAACAAAACACATGAAAACAGTAAACCTCTGAAACTTAGATTCTTTCAAGTTAGGCTATGTAAAAATCCATGTTAGAGTCCTAAAAAATGTTATATTTTACCACTGTTACCGTTTGACTGTCTTCGCTATAAGTTGAGATCTTCATTAGGCAATTATAATTATTGTGAAACATTGACATTGCACAATTCCAATGCTGAAGGACAGTTAAGTATTTTGAATAACTTAAAGTTCCAAATTACAAGAATTAAAATATTAAAAAACAATGACTGTGAAATAAAACAAAATATATTTTGCAAGAGTAACTTAACTAATTTAGAAACCCCAATAGGCACTATAGAAATTTTATTGATGAGGAAGTTGAGGTTTAGTAAATAAAACAAATTGATTAGTCCAAATACAGAGTATTTAAACATTTCACAAAAACAAAGTGATTCTTCTTTTATCCAAGTCTTAGGTCATTACATTTGGAGTTTTTTTCATTGGAGAAACTGAACTATCAATTTGAGTGAGTTTGCTGTGGTGGATTTGGCTGATTTCCGTTTGATTTTCCCTGTGCTTTGTCTTGGCGTCTTAATCTCCATGGGTTCAATTGGAGTCTGAAACAAAAAAGGCCTTATAGATTTTTTAAAAACATTACTCGATTATAAAAGTAAGATGTGGTCCTTACTGATTCAGATTTGTAAACTGTTTCAATCAAAAACCAATCAAGATTAAACCAAACTAGACAAAACTGTGAGTGTGAGATAATAATTCGCTTCTACTGAAATGAGCTGTAAAAATTAAAAAATCACGGCTACACTTGCGCTGACACCAGGTAAAAGTAATAAAAGTAAAAATAATAGAATACTAAATCAGGTATAGTTAGGTTTCAAAGTTCCGTTGGATAACAAAATTACTTTACACTAAATACTTCCATGTTGCTGTGCCACAGGCCTTATATGGAAGTGCAACCAAAATTAGCTAATACAATTTATTGTTTTTGTTTTTTTACAGGGATTACATTAAAATTACAGCCACTATTAACTGCCACAGTGAGAGTAATAAGTTAGTGTCACTATTACTCTCACTGTGGCAGTTAGGCCTATGTTCATACTTGGGAATAACTAATAGAAATTCTATCGAATAGCACTATCAGTTTGTTTTTTTGGCTAACTTCTATTTTATTCGTTCATTTTTAAATTAACTAACTAATAACTTCTATCAGTTACTTTTTACGGGACTAACTAATAACTTCTAACTAGTTAGAATTTTCAACTAACTTTCCCAATTATGTGGAAGCATCTCAAATACGGGTTATTTATTTCACGTGATCAGTGAGGGTTGCGTACGTGAGAGGTCAGTGCCCTTGTAGACAAACAACGCGGGGGGTGGGGAAAGAGAAAGTCAAAGTCCAGTTGCTTTGGAATGCAGTGGGCCTGTGGAAGGGTAGTGACGGCCATTATCAACACCCCAAGCAAGCACTGATGGGTGGGAAGGGGAAATGTTTGTTTGGTGATTGATATATCATCTCAAGTGTCAAAACATTGTCTTTAGTTTATGTTCATTATCTGACAAGTTTTATGTCATTTGTTTATGTTGTAGTAATGTAAAATGTGACAATGTTTGATTAAAACACAAGTACCAGGGGACCGATCTTGCTCGAGGTGTTTGATTTGTTCAAGAGGTAAAAAATAGAGATTATAAGCCTACAAATATTTTCAGTCTTACTACGATTAATTAAGTAGTAAAGTCAATTCGTTTTTGTTAGACACCACTTATCCTCAATTTAGTCTACAAAACTTTTTAATCTGGACGATCAATCTATAAAATGTCCACAATAAGCTTCAATCAATATAAAACTCATGATACATAACATCTGTTATCTGACGACCGTTATTGCATTAAGTTACTGGGATCGGGGAACGTTGCAACTATAATTACGGGATGGTGTAATAAACCATCAATTCGTGTGGTGCATCGTCGAAAAATACAAATCTCATTGGCCTTTCCTTTAGATTTTTAGTTCAATGTCAGTGTATATTGTTTTTCAGTAAAACACTTAATGTTTTTGAACAGTCGTAATTATCCCTTTGGTTAGTAAGACATCATACAATGCAGATGTATTATACAAGCAATTTTCAATAGCATTGAAATTGGAGGAAATCGTAGGAGCCATTTTTTAAATCATACCGTGCGCAATCTTTACTCATATTATAGCATATATTAGTAACCAAGATGTGACATAAAAAAATACTTTAAAACAACTGCCCAACGTTCAGCTAATTTCTATTAAAACTAACTTTATTTTCTATCAGTTAGTTTTTCAACTAACTAATAACTTCTATCAGTTACTTTTTAAACTAACTAACTTATAACTTCTATCAGTTACTTTTTACGGGACTAACTTATAACTTCTAACTAGTTAGAATTTTTGACTAACTTTCCCAACTATGCCTATGTTAAGTAAGGTTTTCACCAGATTCATATGGCAGATATCGATCCGGAAGGAAAAATTTAGGATAATCTGAGGACTTTAAAACATTGCATGAATAACGATAAAGACACTTAGCACCTGAAAATGTTGACACTGTAGGCTAAATTGTATTCTTTAATAGGACAACAGCCTAATTATTTCTGAATATTATAGTAGGTATTACAGTATTGTAGTTCTGATAGGGTTATATGTCTGCTTGAATTTTAAGGCCAAAATATTATCATAAGTTATAAGTTAGCTGATAAGCACCGATTTCTGTGACTGTGAAATTTTGCTATGCCAGCTTATTTTTCCCTAAAATTAAGTAGGCCTATTCGTACAATCTTATAATACATGAAAACAACCTTAACATTTTTCTAAGGCACAGAAGACTCTTTCATTTTAAGGTACCGGTATTTTAAAGATGGACTGCTTCTCTGGTGGAGTAATACCAGACGGGGGCACGACCACTGGCAACGATTACATTTCAAATGGTCAGTCAGTTACTGTCAAACAACCTAGGCCTTAGTTTTTCTGTAACCCCCTGAAATGTCACTGTACAGCGCTTTGCAGAGTTAGGTTAGGTTTATTATGATCATTATGTTATTAAGATAAAACCTTAACTTAACCCATTGGAGACCTAATAAGCACATTACAAGCTGCCCCCTATGGATCCTATTAAATTCCAACAAAATGTAAGGTTTTAATTAAAAACCTATAACACTCTTGTTTTTCAACCAAATGTGGTTTATATTATATTTTTCTTAATCCTTATGAAATTCTCTATACCTTACAATGCTTTTTAACATTTTTTTCAGAATTTTTTTTTTTATTAATGTAATACTCACAAATTTATAAAAATATATATAAAATTTTGAAAGTAAGCCATTTTTTTTCATTCATAAAAATGTTAGAATGCTTTAACTTTTATATATTTGTATAGAATATTTAATTCTCTACATAGAAAACTTTGATTTAATTAAATACAATATTTAGTTTTTTTTTTACACAATATTTTCTAAAACGCTACAAGTGGTAAAATGTTGGCAAAAACGCGCCCACTTGTCTTTTTTTAATTTCTGTAGGCATATATCTCTTGGTTATCAGAATAAACATAGACAAGTTTCTACAAAATGTAGCCCACAGTAGGCCTATGTATTTAATTAGATTTCTTGGTATGTAATATAAAATAAAACTAATAAACTAGGCTAACTTAGCATGCGGTAGCGGAAAACCAGTAAGCTATTGTAGGCTAACTTACCAATGAGAGAAGATGTAGGCTAAGTAATTTCCATTGTCATGTTCATTATAGTAACTGTTTAAAACATTATTTTAAAGTCATATTTACACTATTTACAGTTCTTCTTACACTATTCTTCTTTTTCTAATAGTCCCTTTTGGTGTGGTACGCTTCGAAGCACGTGTCCACATGGAGGGCGACTTGGCATTTCTTGCATAAGTATCGTGTCTCTGACCGTATATTATTTTTAAAACAAACTTTGCAGTTTCTTGTGGGGTGGTTTTTCTTTCCAGTTGGAGGAATTGCCATTGGAAAATGTGCCCAAGCTTTACTTTGTAGGCGCAGGGGATTGTCCTGCAAAGAACGGCGCCCCGGAGAACTTTTTTCTGGGAGTGTGACGTTTTCAATCATTTGTTCAACAATATTCAGTCTGTAGTCAGAGTAATGCATTTTCTTTTGATGAATCTTCCTCCAAATGCAGAACGAATTGAAAATCGCCATGTCAATCAGATAAAAAAAAATCTTTTTATAAGATTTGACACAGCGCCTCATAATTGTGTGGGATGCCAAAAACTGGTCTTGCACATCCACACCTAGCATGCCCTTGTTGTATTCAGTCACTGATTTAGGTTTCTTTATTTGTATTGTTTCCCCCCTTATTATTATTTCTTTATCAACAGCAAACTGAACACCTTCATGGATTGTTGACAAAACGTGTACATACTTTTTATCAAGCCATCTTATTGCTAATACCCCACTGCAGCTTCTTCTTACAGCTTCACCTCTTTCCAGTTCCATATTTGGAAAATCATCTGGCATATTTGTTCTCTTGTAATCGACTGTTCCAATAACATGGGTATCTCTAGCTAGTAGCATCTCACATAGTCTCGGTGACATATACCAATTGTCAATGTAAAGCCTATAGCCCTGATTTTGTATAGGTTGTGTAAGGTTCAGTACAACAGCCTCGCTGCACAGCAAACCAGGAGTTTGGTCTTCACCAGTGTAAATTTTAAATGCAGCACAATATCCCGAAGATGATTCACAGAGTTTATAAAACTTTACACCGAAACGAGCTCTTTTTTTTGATTGTATTGAATGTAGCTCAAGCGAGCTCTAAGTTTCACTAAACTTTCATCTACTGCTACATCTTGTTCCATTGTATAGAAGCATAGACAAAAAGAATTAAATATAGACTGTCAGCCGTGCTGCGGTTGCCATGGTTACCATAGGTTCCGGCGCACACCGCTGCAGTTTACGTAGCGCGTACGCCGTAACTACGGTGGTGCTCCAAGCGGTGTGCGCCAGAACCTATGGTAACCGCAGCACAGCTGACGGTCTATATTTAATTCGTTTTGTCTATGATAGAAGTCCATAAACTTATTTTCTAGGTAGGAAATTACCGGTCTCAATTTCTTCAACTTATCTTTCGGATCTGTAAAATCAGGATCAGAGAAATGCAAAAATCGTGAAATAAGACAAAATCGCTTATATGTCATGACTTCTGAAAAAATAGTAGTTTCTACAATTTTCCTAGTCGACCAGTACATCTTTATCCTTGGCTTTTTTACCTGGCCCATTAGAATATAAAGTGCCAGATATGCTTTTATTTCTGGCACAGTAACTGGCACCCACAACTTATCATCTGCAAGCTTTCTTCTATTAGGGACATTCAATTGTTTATTTGCGTAATCGTTTGTCTCAACACACAGCATAGAGTAAAACTCATTCTCTAAAAACTGAGATAAAATGTCAAGTTCTGAGGGGATGTTTCCCAGTCGACGTGCATAAATTGGATTTAGGCCGGGGGTAGCAACAAATGGAATAGTTTTAGGGACATTGTCTTTATCTTCCCAGTTCCATTGTGACTTTTTTTTATTTATTTTCTTTTTTTTTCTTAGCCCTACTTTTTTTTGGTTGTCTTGTATTGGTATTTCTTCCTACTTTTCTTTTTGAAGGCTTATTCGTTCGAAGAGTATTAGGTTTAGGCCTACTTGGTCCAGGCCTAGGAAATTCAATTGACTCAGGAACAGACATAGATGTAGGCCTAGTTTCAATTGACTCAGAAACCAAAGGTACAAGATTGGACCTATCACCTTGCCCCATTTCGATTTCAATGACCATATCATCAATAGGTACTTCATCAAAACCTACACTACCAAGATGTATGGAGTAAAAGAGGTGGGCCAGACAGAGCGGACTGCGCGCGATGACGTCACTGCAGTCCCGGCCGCGGCTGCCTCGCCGCTAGATGCATGCTAAACGCACAAACCTACTTTTTCGGGCACGATTTAAGCTGGTTTGGAGGAGGTATTTCCCGTTATAACACAAATATCTTTGTGTACTAATTAATGATTTTTATGATTTTTAACTAACATGAATTGTGAACAGTTTGACAATAGTAAATAGCCAATTAGGCCTGTATGTTGCATAGAAAGCGATGAAATGCGGGCGTCTACCGATTCAGTTGGAATAATAATTACACTTTAGAATAATTTTAGATTAAGATATAACACTCCCCTTTTTAAGGTTAGTTAATAAAATATATGTTTTAGCACTAGGTAAAAAAGTTGCCTGTTTAAAAGTTACTTCAACTGCTTTTTGGTGTTAGTTATAAATGAAACGCCATTCTTTTTCATTTTTAATTTCTTCTTTTTCTATTTAATGTTTAACTTATTTGGGTTTGTTGATACAAAAAAAAACAACAGCCAATTATATAATATTTTACATGAGAATCATAAATGTTGCTTAGAAATCAAAACCAACTATGATACTGCATTACTATTTTACAGGAATTAAATAGACCACAAAAATCTGTTTGGATAAATGGCATTGACCAAAGAATACGCTCGGAGAATACTAATGATTTTCCCCGAGGAAAGCTTGTTTCACACCTACTTTTAAAAAACATATCAATACCGTATGTGTATACATATATTCAGGGCCGCGTTAAGGGTCAGTGGCGCCCTGGGCAAACCCAAAAGCAGCGCTTACTTTACTTTACTTTACTTTACTTTTTTACTTTACTTTCTGAGATAAAAAATGCTAGGTATGCGTTTTCCTCTAGCTATATATAATGACAGTTACCGACTAAAACTCAGTCCGACATAAGAGTCATATTTTATTGGCAAAAAATTACGCTTTGTCTTTATTGAAAGGTGCAAAAGAAACGAATTTTGGATTTCAAACATTTTTATATTTATTTTGAATATGTTTAAAGAAATTAATTTCATGATTAAAGGGTTTGGGGAATCTTAAACATTCGTGAGCCCTAAATCAAACTTGTGTCTTCTGAACACAGTATTATCGCAGTGATGCGGAGGAATGCTCGACAAAACGAAAATTCAGAAAACTTTACCGGGGAAACAAAAAAGTTGTGCAAGCTGTGTTGTAATAATAAAACATCGCAATGTAGGCTAAATAAAAATTGAGAGTTTGGAAAAGGAATTTTAATTTTTAAAATTGAAAATTAAATATTTAAAATGCTTTGATATGAATAAATGGCCCTGTGAAGAAAGTGAAGACATTAAGCCATACGCCATAAAGTAAATTGTTTACCTCAAGACCGTCTTGAGCTATTTGCTCAAAGAAGAATATTAGAGTCTAGAGTCTAATGATATTGAAGTTTTTAAACAGGCAAAAACAAATGAGCGGCAACAAAAAATCAAAAACAATCAACTAAGAAACGTCATCGTCAGTACTGAATTTAAGAGTAAGTAAAAGATTTCAAGAACTCTAATAACTCAATGTGTTTATATCTGATTACATGTCCAATGGTGAGAGATACACTTGGTAAATAAAGTCTTTTTATTTCAAATGCGTTTTCTTTCCATTCATAAAAATATAAATCTCCATTCCTAATTACACTAATCTAATAATGATTGTACATTACCAAAAGCTACTTTTATTTGGCATATCTGTATAGTGAAAAATGTTTGTTTGATTTAATTAATAATTTGAAAAATCTTAAGGGTACCGTATCTAATTTATTACTAATAAATATATTCATGGACAACTGTAGTTCAGTAGGCTATCCTAAAAATATATAGATATAGATCATAAAATTAGTTGCTATTTACCGGATCAGAGTAGATACTTAGTGACATAACAACAATTGCAGAAATGGACATCAATTTAATCAACAATTGCTCTAATATTTGAGTAGTAATATAATAAGGAATAACATAGTAATATATTGAAAACCAAGAAAAACCAATTTTAACAATTGCGTAGTACAAACTGGTGTAAACAACGTAATATAACATCTGAAGTGTTGTGTACGGGCTGTGAGTAGCGGCTCGAGGACTGCAGTGACGTCACTGCCTCGGTCCGATGGGTGAGGGGGGTAGAGGGGCGCGCTCTGTCTGGCCCACCTCTTTTACTCCATGCATCTTGCTACACTACCACTTACAGCCTCACCTTGGTCTCTGTCTGAATTGGCTAACCCATCTTCACCATCTGATTCCAAAATATCCTGAGGATCCAGCTCTTCAATTTCCCCAAAACAATCGCCTTGGTCTGAATTGGCTAGGCCTATCCCATCTTCACCATCTGATTCTACAAGATATCGAGGATCCAACTCTTCTACTTCCCCAAAACAATCATCACTAGAATCACTACTACGTTCTTGGTCACTGTCGCTTTCCTCAAATAAAATTCTATCTATTTCACTGGAATATAAAAATCGTCCCTACGAGCCATCACATAACCTTCAACTACGGTAAAACATTTCCGAAAAATAATTCGTCTTCTGTAATAGAACAACAACTAAAAACTAACAAAACACTATTGAAAAAACTGACACTTCATTGTTTTATTCGTCATAAAATTCAATATAAAAAACACACTTATTATTTGAAAATGTAGACACACGTAATGTTTACAAACATGTAACACAATTTTGTTGTTTACAATTGTGACAGCAGACTAATACACCGTCACTAAGCTAGCGACGTAGTGACCAACAGCTGCGAACGAAATAGGTCCATATTACGCAATCAATATAAATATTACGGCATATAATAATTGACTTTAAATAGCTTTTTTATCAAATTTGATGTTCTATATAGCCCTAAAAGTTGTAAAAAGCTACTAAAATAATGTTAAATGCAAGTAAAAAGAATAACAATAAAGTATGTCGTCATCACGAGATAGCTCGTGATGGTGGTTTTGGGCCACTTGAAGCCATCACGAGTATACTCGTGATAGGTCGCCAATGGGTTAATATGTAATTAAGATGTAAAAGCATAACTTATCTTACCTCAACAATATCAGGCTATCCATAGAAAAGTTGTCCACGGCGGTTTTTTTTTTTTCTGAACTGCTGTACATAATCGATGAGTACAGCGTCATCTTTAAGGAGCTTGACAAGTGCTCCAAGTCTTATCTAACTTAAACTTCATCGTCGTGTCATCAGATAAATGTTTACTGCAAAGAATCAATACTAAACAGTTTCTTTCAGATTTTTTTCTTTTGACAGCCTTTTCCCAGGATTTCAACAGCTTTGGGCGAGTTAATAGAAATCTGAAATAGTTAAAAAATAGTTAAACTTAATTCACAGTACTTAACCTTTAGGCCTAGTTTCCATAAATCCACATACATTGTAGTTCATCACCTATACCTGGAAATGTAAATAATAGCATAATAGCTATGAAGGGCCTATGATTGATAAATAGAGCTGACGCTAATACTTGTCAGTATAGGTGCGAGTATGGGCTACTGTAGTAGCATGCTAGTAGGTATGATTACCAAAATAAAAATACAAGAATTTATTTTATTCAGTTAATTAATAGTTCAAATTAAAATGCACTTCTGATTTTAAAGAGTAAGAAGTTACCTGAAGCCCTAATAACCAATCTAGGCATAAAGCTGGGTTTTCCTAGGCGCGGAAGCGGAGAGCGGAGAGAGGAACGCGGAGAGTGGAAAAGAGATTAACATGGTGTTCCGCTCTGTTTCTAGGAAAACAGTAGGCCTAACATTAAATTACCTAAGACAAGTGGAGTCCGCTTTCCGCGTTCCTCTCTCCGCTCTCCACTTCCGCGCCTAGGAAAACCCGGCTTAAGTTAGCGACAACATTTCTTGATACAGTAAGTAATTATTTAAAACTTACTTGTAAAAGTGGATCCCATTTCCTTTATTGTACTTAGGCTACGTTTCTTTGCATCCAAATTCAACATAATATTTAACCAAATTTGCTTAATTGACTCACACTCACATAATTAAGATAAACATAATTACAAGATATCTTGTCGTTCATTAAAGGTCAATTGTTTGGAGGGCCCCTATCCAAATCATCTGGTCATCGGATTATAAGAATGAATGCCAACATTTCTAGTTAAAATTGTGGCTGTATTTTAGTAAATTTTAAGTTACAGTAGCCTACAATCCATAAGTATAGATTAAAACAAATAAAGCTTTAACATTTGTATACAGAAACAAAATAACTAACTTAACCAGAGTTATTGAAATAATTATTTCTCGTAGGTAAGTATTGAATGAATTTGATTAGTAAAGATGCATGCAAAGAGTAAAGTGTTACTGTTTTTTGACCACTCACCAGAAGGCCTGTTAAAAAGATGTGTTCTATGAGTTAATTTGAAGGTAAAATTTGTTAAATTTTAAAATATTACCTAACCAACACACTTAAGTTTCAGGCTGAAGCAAGCTTTTATCTAGGCCTTATTTTATTTTACATTCCAACACAGGGTATATAAAATAACATGTTAAATGGGTGACACAGTGCTGAGATTTTGTAGGCCAGTGACTATGGGTGGTGCCAGCATATTTTTTTTAATAATTCACATTTGAAATGTATCCGAATTAAAAAAAAAATTAAGTACGGTATGTAAATATTTTAGAGTAGGCTATTGAGCTATGATTTTGGCCCAAGAGGTTGTGAAGGGAGCCTTGGCCTGTTATGACATTCTAGGATAACGGTACATAATTAAGTGAAATTATATGGACTATTTACAAGCGAATAAGTATAATCGAAAAATTCATAAGAAGATGCGTAGAAATATGTGTTCTTTTCACTTTAATTTAAGTTATGAAAAATTTCTGGGGGAACCCTCCGACCCCCGGTATCCCATACCACCCCGGTAAGTCCGGCGCCTCTGTTGCCCAGTGGAAATCCCTTAACATATGCTCTGTTTCCAACATACTATATGACTTACCTATCTTAACTTATTGTGTCAGTTTCATTCTTTTATATGACCAGCATACCGGTACTTCTAATTTTATTTGTATTAACTTAAATAGGCTTCATCCTAATATAATTATCAATGGGGGAATTGTATGTAAATAAATCCCCCTCCTCCCAAAACAATAATTGGAACCTAGGATAATAATTCTGGAGTAATAATATTTGGTTTTTTATATTTGAACTTCAGAAACCATAAGTAAAAGGCCTAAATTGGTTTTCTAAAAGACATAATAATTTGCGCAATTGATTTGGTATTTTTATTTTGCTGATTCAGTTAAGCTATTAATAAGAATAAGAATAAGAATAAGAAAGTTTATTGCCATTGACCAAGTTGTACATAGGAATAGGCATTGTCAAATTACATTAAATAAAATATCACTAAACATGTTCATATCTATAGATAAGTTAACAAAGATTAAGAATAACGATTGAGAGTTTTGATTTACAGTATGAAAGATTCGGCTTTAATTTTATAATTCATAAAGTCCTTAACTGAGTAAAATGGGTTAGCTATGAGCCAGTTATGAATTTTTGACTTAAAAAGAGGAAGAGAAAGGCTGTCTGCCTGAAGAGGCTCAGGCAGCTTATTATAAAATTTCACACAATTAAGTTTAAAAGAATTACCTGTGATGGCCAGCCTGTGATGTGGTATATCCAGTTGTTCCTTGTTTCGTGTATGGTGGAAATGGTAATTCTGCCTGGTGGAAAACTCATTGAGATTAGCTTTAGTGTATATAAGTACATTGTAGATGTATAAGTTAATGATTGTGCAAATGTTTAGTCTGACAAAAAGTGGCTTGCAGTGCTCCGCAGGGCCAGCCCCCGACATAGTGCGGATGACTTCTTTTTGTATTAGTAGAAGCTCATGAACATGGGGGGAATGGCCCCAAAGTTGGATTCCATATTGAATGTGGGATTGAAACAGTCCAAAGTAGGCTAGTTTGAGATATTCAATGTCAACAAAAGACTTGAGTTTCCAGAATAGACATGAAACTCTCGATAGTTTTTTGCTTAAATTTGTGATGTGAATTTTCCAATTTAATTTACTATCAAGGTGAATGCCAAGAAGTTTGACTGAATGGTCTAATTTGTTTGAAGAGAGTGAAAATTCTATTTTCTGGGTTTTGGATTGGTTACAGATGAGTTTATTTGTAGAAAACCAGTTTAAAACACTGTTTTCTGCATTAGAAAGTGTTTCTGAGAGCTTTATAAGATCTTTATCAGAAGTAAAAATTGTGGTGTCGTCTGCATATATAACACTGTCAATAGGGATGTTACATGGAAGATCATTAACTGCGACAATGAAAAGAAAAGGGCCCAGGACCGAGCCCTGCGGAACTCCTGCTTTAATTGCTGTCAATGTTGAGTTTTTACCCTCCACACTAACAAATTGCCTCCTGTTGGTCAGATATTATTCAATTATGTCTATTGAGTTTTTATTAAGTCCATAAAATTTGAGTTTTGTCAGCAAAATGTCAAACGGAATGCAATCAAAAGCTTTTGTTAAGTCAAAAAGAAGCATGGACACAGTATTTTTATTTTCAAAAGCATTAATAATGTAATTGGAAATGTGAGAGACTGCCATAGTGGTTGATTTACCAGCTCTAAAACCAAATTGAGAGTCAGACATCAACTTATTGGAATAAAAAAAAATATTGAGTTGTTTCAACATGAGAGCTTCAAAAACTTTAGATAAAATTGGAACTATTGAGATTGGACGATAATTTTGACAAAGGTTCTTATCGCCCTTTTTATAGATAGGAGTTACTTTTGAAATTTTAAGTAAATCAGGAAAATAACCATTACGGAGGCAACTATTGAATACAGTAGAGAGGGGTGTAGAAATGTAGTGTATAGTATTCTTGATTATATAATTTGAAAGCCAAAAATGGTCCATGGTTTTTGAATTTGAAAATTTTGAAACTGTTTTTATTACCTCATCTGGTGTGATTGATGTCCATTTAAATTTGGAAATGTTGTCCAATTGTTTATTGGATTCCAGCAGATCACTGGGTGTGGTTTGGGTTTGGCCAACTTGGTTGACCAGTTCCTCAACAGAATCTGTAAAATATGTGTTTAGTTCATAGGTCCGTGAAGTTGGCGTACCCATATTAGCGTATCCACTTTTGATCATACCAATTGTTAGTTCATCGTTAGTTCTCGATAGTTCCCAAATTTTGTCGTTAGTTCTCAAAAAATAAAAAAGTTATAGCCGATAATAAGTGGGTACGCTAACTTCACACTTCCGGGTTCTAGCGCGCGCCGTTTTCTGATGAGAAATGTTTACATCTATATATCAATCCTTAGTTCTTCGTTAATCCTTGATAGTTCCCAAATTTTTTCGTTAGTTATCAAAAAATAAAAATGTTACGAGGCATACAAAGTGGGTACGCCAACTTCACAATTATAGAATTTCCAGCGGGCACACTTTTTTGAATAAAAATGCTTAAATCTATATACCAATCGTTAGTTCTTCGTTAGTTCTCGATAGTTCTCCAATATTTACGTTAGTTCTCAAAAAATAAAAAAGTTACGAGGCATAGAAAGTGGGTACGCTAACTTCACAGTTAGACAATTTCCAGCGGGCACACTTTTTTGAATAAAAATGCTTATATCTATATACCAATCGTTAGTTCTTCGTTAGTTCTCGATAGTTCTCCAATATTTACGTTAGTTCTAAAAAAATAAAAAAGTTACGAGGCATAGAGAGTGGGTACGCTAACTTCACAGTTAGACAATTTCCAGCGGGCACACTTTTTTGAATAAAAATGCTTATATCTATATACCAATCGTTAGTTCTTCGTTAGTTCTCGATAGTTCTCCAATATTTACGTTAGTTCTCAAAAAATAAAAAAGTTACGAGGCATACAAAGTGGGTACGCTAACTTCACAGTTATACAATTTCCAGCGGGCACCATTTTCTGACTATAAATGCTTATATCTATACACCAATCGTTAGTTCTTCGTTAGTTCTCGATAGTTCTCCAATATTTACGATAGTTCTCAAAAAATGAAAAAGTTATGAGGCATACAAAGTGGATACGCCAACTTCACAACTATAGAATTTCCAGCGGGCACACTTTTTTGAATAAAAATGCTTACATCTATATACCAATCGTTAGTTCTTCGTTAGTTCTCGATAGTTCTCTAATATTTACGTTAGTTCTCAAAAAGTAAAAAAGTTACGAGGCATACAATGTGGGCACGCTAACTTCACAATTATAGAATTTCCAGCGGGCACCGTTACTGACTATAAATGCTTATATCTATATACCAATCGTTAGTTCTTCGTTAGTTCTCGATAGTTCTCCAATATTTACGTTAGTTCTCAAAAAATAAAAAAGTTACGAGGCATAGAAAGTGGGTACGCTAACTTCACAGTTAGGCCTACACAATTTCCAGCGGGCACACTTTTTTGAATAAAAATGCTTATATCTATATACCAATCGTTAGTTCTTCGTTAGTTCTCGATAGTTCTCCAATATTTACGTTAGTTTTCAAAAAATAAAAAAGTAACGAGGCATACAAAGTGGGTACGCTAACTTCACAGTTATACAATTTCCAGCGGGCACCATTTTCTGACTATAAATGCTTATATCTATACACCAATCGTTAGTTCTTCATTAGTTCTCGATAGTTCTCCAATATTTACGATAGTTCTCAAAAAATGAAAAAGTTATGAGGCATACAAAGTGGGTACGCCAACTTCACAACTATAGAATTTCCAGCGGGCACACTTTTTTGAATAAAAATGCTTACATCTATATACCAATCGTTAGTTCTCGATAGTTCTCTAATATTTACGTTAGGTCTCAAAAAGTAAAAAAGTTACGAGGCATACAATGTGGGCACGCTAGATTCACAATTATAGAATTTCCAGCGGGCACCGTTACTGACTATAAATGCTTATATCTATATACCAATCGTTAGTTCTTCGTTAGTTCTCGATAGTTCTCCAACATTTACGTTAGTTCTCAAAAAATAAAAAAGTTACGAGGCATACAAAGTGGGTACGCCAACTTCACAACTATAAAATTTCCAGTGGGCACACATTTTTGAATAAAAATGCTTACATCTATATACCAATCGTTAGTTCTTCGTTAGTTCTCGATATTTCTCTAATATTTACGTTAGTTCTCAAAAAGTAAAAAAGTTACGAGTCATACAAAGTGGGTACGCAAACTTAACAATTATACAATTTCCAGCAGGCACAGTTTTCTGACTATAAATGCTTATATCTATATACCAATCGTTATTTCTTCGTTAGTTCTCGATAGTTCTCCAATAGTTACGTTAGTTCTCAAAAAATAAAAACGTTACGAGTCATACAAAGTGGGTACGCAAACTCCCCACTTTGTATGCGTCGTAACTTTTTTTACTTTTTGAGAACGAACGTAAGTATTAGAGAACTATCGAGAACTAACGAAGAACTAATGATTGGTATATAGATATAAGCATTTTTATTCAAAAAAAGTGTGCCCGCTGGAAATTCTATAGTTGTGAAGTTGGCGTACCCACTTTGTATGCCTCGTAACTTTTTTAATTTTTCGAGAACTAACGTAAATATTGGAGAACTATCGAGAACTAACGAAGAACTAACGTTTGGTGTATAGATATAAGCATTTATAGTCAGAAAACTGTGCCTGCTGGAAATTGTCTAACTGTGAAGTTAGCGTACCCACTTTCTATGCCTCGTATCTTTTTCATTTTTTTAGAACTAACGTAAATATTGGAGAACTATCGAGAACCAACGAAGAACTAACGATTGGTATATAGATATAAGCATTTTTATTCAAAAAAGTGTGCCCGCTGGAAATTCTATAATTGTGAAGTTAGCGTACCCACTTTGTATGCCTCGTAACTTTTTTATTTTTTGAGAACTAACGAAAAAATTTGG